AGAGAGAGAGAGAGAGAGAGAGAGAGAAAGAGAAAGAGAAAGATATTAATATTTTTTATAATGTCATATATTAATGTATATTTTAATTTCCTTCAAACTTTATCAAGTAAAAGAGCTCACGATGATTAAACGAGGAAACCAAGATGAGGTTGAAAAAATAAATACAACAAAATGTGTTAAATGTTTTATATTGTTTTCAATATAATTATATTTAAAGTAATAAAATGTTTACTATAACAAATTAGATATAAAATAATTATTATAATTATGAATTTTTGTTTTACATATTATTTATAATTCAAAATGGAATTTTTGTTTTACGATTTATCCATTACCCGTTTCGTTACCCGCTATTTCAATGAGTATGATAAGATATGGATAATAAGTTTATGAGATGGATAATTACTTGTGTCATTACTCGCTTTTTTAATCGGATTGGATAATGGAATAACCCGTACCCTACTCGTTGCCGACTTTACCTCCTATCATATACTGCTCCTCGTATACAGATTAAACAAGTCAACACTAATCATTTTTAAATTTTAAACTACATTTTTTATCTTTATAATTAGTTATTTATTTTACTTTATATCCCTTAATTTTTTACTTTTCATTTTATACATTTTATTATATTAACACACATAACCATATATTAGCTAAAACACGTTAAAAATGCATTTATTTGTTAACAAATTACATCATTATCACCATCTTGTCATTCGTCAATAACATTAAAAAAAATACATTTCTTTTATAAATTACCTTATCACTTTATATTCTTATAGATATTTATTTACTTTGTTTTATATCATTTATTTTATCATTTTTCCTTTTACATCTTATCTTATTAATAGATATGATCATATATTAACTAAATTACATTATATATATACATACATATATATATATATAAAAGTTGGGAAAAGTTTAAAAAAAACCCAATGGACTTTAGTATTTGGAATGATTAAGTCCTTGGACAATTTTTTGGAACAAATAAGTCATTGGACATTCCAAAACATGTTAAATAACTTATTGGACAATTTTTTGGAACAAATAAGTTCTTGAACAATTTAAAACATGTTAAATAACTCATCGGACAATTTTTTGAAACAAATAAGTCATGGATAATCCAAAACATGTTAAATAACTTCTTGGACTTTTCTAAAACCTGTTGGATACATTCTTATGACTTGTACAACTAGTTAATGTGGTAAAATAGTGAAAAAAATCAAGGACTTATTTGTTCCAAAAAATTGTCCAAGGAGTTATTTAACATGTTTTAAATTGTTCAAGAACTTATTTGTTCCAAAAAATTGTCCAATGAGTTATTTAACATGCTTTTGAATGTCCAATGACTTATTTGTTCCAAAAAATTGTTTAAGAACTTAATCATTTCAAACACTAAAGTCCATTGGGTTTTTTTAGACTTTTCTCATATAAGTTACCTTATTATAATCATCTCGTAAATACCTTAAAAAAAAGTTCAATATTATTAGTTATCTTATACGTAAAAAAATTATAAATTATTTAATACTTTTCAAAACTCTTATTATATTGACATACATAATCATGTATCAACGAAAATACATTAAAACATACATTTTTCTTTTACAAATTACACCATTATAATTATATCGTGAATACCTTGAAAATGAAAATATTGAATATTTTTTACTTGATCAAATTATTAAATATCATAAATACGTAAAAGGATTTAAGAATTAATTTCAATACATACACCTTGTATTCTTATATCTTTATATCTTCAAGGCACAACATGATATTACATGTTCTTAACACAACCACTTTCATCCTCTTTTAACATGTTATAAAAGAGTTAAAATTGAAATTTAATTGCATTGATATGAATACATTTTTGTCTTTTAGTGTAGAAATAGTATGGAAAAATTGTAGATTTTGATGGAGGGGAAGAATTGGCTTCATCTCACGTCATTAAATCAACACGTCTTTTTAGATTATCAACTAGTTTCGACCAAAGTGAATATATTTTCATTAATTGACTTTTCTGTTAATAACTGACTTATCAGTTAGTTTGTTAAATATAGTCGAACAGTCATGCTATTTGAACTCTTTTTAGGATATGTTTGACAAACTAACTGATAAACTAGTTGATGACTGATAAGCTAGCTAGTAGCTGATAACATGGACGAACCCAACATGACGCCACAAGTGGCACGTGTCACCGTGTTATTCATTCGTCGAAGGGTAAAAAAAATTATATTCGTGAAAGGTGCAACCGTATTAGTTCATTGTGTGTCACCGTATGTATTTTGAAACTACAGTGAGAATAAATTTTCTTTGGTAGAGTTGGTTTGTAAGGCTTTTCTTCCACCCTAGACACGAGTTCAAATCATGTCAGTGTCACTTTCTTAGTCAAATGGTGACACCGTTTGAATTTTTTTTGTATATTTATTTCTTATAGTTGAATGATGCCACTATTTGAAAAAATTATTGGGTCCATCCCTGGCTGATAAGTTAGCTGATGGATAAATTATATTTGACAAAAAAACTAGCTTATAAGCATGTAAAATAACCAAAAAATGCATCTTGAAAAAATAGTCGATTACAAATATTCTATAATATAATTCAAATAAAATTCTAATAATATAATATGTTAATTAATACAAACAAGATATTAAAGAAAAATTAAATAATATAATATTTTATTTAAATTATCTTTAATTGAGTGAATTACCCAATTTGGTCCTTGTGGTTTGGTGAAAATTACGAGTAGACTCTTTAAACTGTGTTTATTANAATAAAATTGTTATATTTGTGTTTTGATAAATAAATATATTGAATAACAATTAAAAATAATAATAATATGAAAATAACTGATAAGATTAATAATTATCATAAATAATTAGTAATCAAATTTACTTGAATAGAATCATTTTTCTAACATTTTAATTAAAATCAGTCACTGCCAAATCAACTAAAAGAGTGAACGACTAAAACATGTATAATTGAACCCCAAAAAATTTGGGGACCCATTTTCATATCTCATACTAAAACACCCGTTGGCATGGACCTGACAAGAAAAAAAAAGGACGTTACCGGATATCCCAAAAGAAATAATGTACTAAACACGATATCAAACCAAATCAAATAAATCCCGTGTATCCCACCCAATGGTGGGGGTATGGGAGTTCCTATCCCGGGGTGTAACATCTCAGGCTAACCGCTGCCAGATATTATCCGTATTGTCCACACCTAGACTCATGGTTATAAAAAACATAAATGAGTTTATGCAGGAAGAGAAGGGCATGAGTTTGAAAAAACTACCTTTCTAACTAATTCAGCATACTGCAAATAAATTGCCCATTCGATAAAACTAGTCTCTCGGCTTTGACAACCATGTCGAAGGCAAGAGGAGTGAAACTTCGAGATGGGCCATAGAAATGGGGAAAGACGTTGGAATCGTCCACAGCTTCGTAAATCAATCCATCTCCAAGCTGCAAAAACAAATTCGAATCACGATTTCCTCTTAAAGCAACATAAATACTTACAAGTTGATATGTTCTTGAACTTGGGGAAGAAAAGAAAAGATAAGAAATGAAGAGAAGAGAAGGAAAATAATCGAATGGAAAAGAACGAAAATGAAAGAAAGTTTTTTCTTTGTGTTTTCGAACGGAAGCAGGGGCGGATCTAGCCTTTAAGGACCGGGGGAAAGGCCTCCAGTTAAAGACCAAACTAGCTTAAATTTTCTATTTTTACCCTCGTCTTCCATGGTTTCCCCCTAGTCCCATATGCTTGCCTCTCCCAAGTCTCATCCAACTTGCCCCCACCCCATTAATTTCCTGGATCCGCCATTGAACGGAAAGAAAGAGAAATGTTATACCCAAGGTTATTGTGAGTACAAGTGCTTAATGCATAAATGGTACAAGTAGGTAAGGCTTGGGGTTTGGTATAAATAAGTGGGTTGAGGAGCATGAAGAGGTATTCTGTTTTGTGTCAGCTTGGACGTGAGTCCTTAGGAGAGCTTCTGGCCTCTCAAAAGGCATGAAACAACTTCTGTAATCATTTGGTTGTGAGTAGTTAATTTCAATCTTGCCACTGATTCTACTATTATCAATCGGGGTAAGGAGGAATGGAAATAAAACAAATTTTCATGTTTTTGAATCGGATAGAAAGGAAAGAGAAAATGTCGCTTTTACCAACATACCATTTTATATTTGTTTTTCACTTTTCCTTATGATGGCATTTTTTCATAAAAGATCACGACTCCTTTCAGATTTTCTTTCTCTCACATTTTGGAGGAAACATAAATGGTATTTTCTCTCATGTTCCTTTCTTTTCTCTCCTAAAAAGTTTAGAGAACGCTAGGTTTTTTTTGTTTTCCCCTCCTTTCCCTCCGCTTCCTCTCTTCCTTGGAAAAGGTTTCGACAACGTAGTGTTAAAGAATCCCCCTTTTCTCACTCCCATGTCATCAAGAAAAACAAGTAACCAAACCAAGCAAACTTAGTATATCCCACTCAAAAGTAGGATCTAAGGCTAAAAAAAAGAGTAACGATCTAAACTAGTGATATCTATATCATCCATCTAAAGTGATAGGCATATCCTGACTCAACTTGTTATTGCATATTTAATATGGCAAGTTGCTTTGTGATGGTTACTTCCCAAATGGAATGCTTCCAGTACCAAATAGATTGTAGCAAATAACCGACCAGGTGTTGCTATATGCACACTTATTTATGTCAAAATTAAGTCAAATCATACATTGAAAAAGCAAAATGTAAGTCTTGATGTTGATGTATGTGAGAAGAAAATTAGCATGTAGGTGCGCATTTAACAATATATAGATGAGCATTTCAAAATGTTGACCAAAAGACGTCAATTCATCAGTGAAGATAATTAGGCAGTTAGCTTATGGTAATTTGTATTACCTTTTCAGAATCAATCTGGAGTAGGAAAAGATCCTTTGTAGTACCCAGGTAAAACCTTTCTAAGGTCGACTTTACCTGCAATAGAAAGGTTACACAATGTTATCAAAAAGAAAGAAATATACCATTATCATATTAAGCAGTCACTATCATAGTGAGCCTTTAAATTCCGGATTCCCAATTTCAAAACTCAAAGCACTTGTGAAACCACTAAAACCAAACCACCCGTGCCTTATGGGAAGTAGGTTTGGTGGTAGGATGTACGCAGAGCTTTTCTCTGCCTCAAAGAGTAGAGAGAGTTTCCATAAAAATCAACACTTCCAGAAAAGATTTAGAAAGACTCAGAGAGGAAGTTGTTTGTAAAACCAGAGTGCATACAAACAGGCATCAAGAAAACAGAGAACATTAGAACAGTACAGGCAATGATGTCAGGTGGAGAAAATACGAGCTTAAATAGCTCTATCTATCCTAGGACCTATATGACGGCTCAACGGCTCAACGGCTCAACGAACCCTCCACCCAACCCACCCAATCTCTATTCCACTCCCATTCTTAATTCTAGTAAAGTGATGCAACATAACTCACATAACATTGCCATTTTAAAAAAATAGGGACCTTTTGAATAGAGTAATTGCAACTAAAACTAAGAGTAGATCAATGGTCATTTTGGGAGAGTGGAGTCCCATGTACAAACTATTCCCGTGCTCTTTTTGGTCAACCAGAAATTTACTAAACAAAAACAAGTGATTACAAAAATATTACACTAGGAGATGACTGATCAGCTTACAGACCAACCCTGTATATCCCAGTTGAAACTAGGGTGTGGTGAGATGTACAAAGACATGACGTCCTACCCCAAAGAGTAGAGCGGCCATAATACCCGCCTTGTGCAAGAGTGTGACCAAAGCTTACCTATCCCCAGATCCAATAAGAGCCCCAGCTAGACATAGTTGAATGACTATAAGTATAACCCACAAGCACAACCTCACAATATAGTTAAATTTAAATGTAAGACTAAGACAGAGGCCTACTGAGCAAGTATAATCTATACTGATACAATGGAGAGATAAAGGAACCTGATTGAGTTTACTGAGATGGATAAAGCCAGAATCCTTGTCGAGTTGTTGGCCAAACGTACATCTACTCGTTTGCAGTTCTGACCACTCATCAGCGGTGCTGATTCTGTACACGAATTCTTCACTTTCATGCACTCCCGTGTTTCCAGCCATTTCTGCACCTGTTTGACAGTCTTGCCAAGTGATCAAGGGATTGTGATGTTATGCATGTATCCATCAAAAGAACCCCTTTATAACTTCCCTTTTTAACTTTGGGTTTATCAAAAAACTTATTAAGGATGAAGAGTTACTTTTCTAAACTATTAACTTTGACATTTTATATCAGAATTATCACTGTATTTACTATTTTTGTTAAAAAAATATACAACGTTTTCTTATTTTGGATGGGTAATTAATAAAATCATTTGATTTTTTTGCCAATCAGTAATCAACAGTTGGAATTAATAACTTCCATTATACTCTGCAAGTTCTTACTATATTGTTCTTGTCAAGGGTAAGACATTTAATACCCAATCTCCATTATACTTTTGCCAATCAGTAATCCTAACTTGTGTTAGCCAAAAATAAGTCTGCTTAATTTGTAAAGATGAAGCAATATAGTTGGTTTTGGTAGATAAGCCCTGGTGATAAGTGATTCATTATTAAAGTGTTACGGTAGAGCCACATATAGAGCAAGTTCCTTCATAAATAGTGCCCTACTGAGAACACATAACGAGGCACCAATCTGCATCATAACCAATAAATAACCACTTTAATGGAGATTTATAGCATCATTCAAGTAAATACAGWTTAAGATCGTAAAAACATAAGCTTTTAATGTAGCTACACCTAATTCCAGACCAGTTAATGCAAGAACTATAAATAAAACCTGCGGATAAATGACAATTGTCACTCACTCTACTATGAAACTAATCTCAAAGGTCCCAGAAAGGTTAATAAATGTACGAGATGTCAACAGTTTCCACCGAGATTTTGTTCAAATTGAAAGATCTCAAATTATGTCACCATTTTCAGCTATCCCTTTGATCCCAAATTGAATGAGCTCCAGAACTGAACTTCCCAGAAGCTACTAGAAACTAGGGTTTATAACTAGACAATACCGCATGATAGATCAGTCAAATAAACTCGAATCCATAAAATATATACAAACCAAGAAAATCAACCAGTAGCAACGGCCATTAAACCAAAATTGTAAACTTATATGTTATATGAATACGATCTGCTAAAAATGAAAAGAGAAATAAATCGAGGACATACTTGAGCACCGAACCACGCGCACTAAGGTCGATGTAGAGATGGTGACACAGAGAGAACTGGCAAGAGGGACAGAGAGAACTGGGTCGCAGAAGAGAGCGAGATAGATCGGGTCTGTGACCGTGAGAGAGATGAGTGTTCAGTGGAGGCTGGAAAATGACTGGCTTTGGTAAAAATGGTTGATGGAAATGGAAATTGTACGCGGGTACCCGACCCGGCGGGTATTTCGTTTTGACCGGTAACAAGTAACAAGACGGGGATGGGGATTTATTTTTGTATTTAAAGCAAGATCCGAATTGAGTTGATGGCAATATCAGCATTTAATACGACTTGGATTAGAAATTTTAATTTATTTAATATATGTATATAATGTCTCTTTAAATAAATATACATACATAGATGTGTATATAATTATATAAATATATTTGATTTTTAATATTGATAATTAATGTAGTGAGATTAATATAATTTTAAATTAAAATACAATATTTTTTTATTAGCGTGGTGTTTGAGATTGCTTATAAAGACAACTTATTGACTTATTCCGGTGTGATACCGGTAATAAGCACTTTTGAGTGTTTGGAAAAACAATTTATACCGGTGTCAAACCGGCAATAATTTTTTTTTTAAGAAGTTAAATTCTTTTGACTTATAATAAATTGATAAGTGTTTTTTTAGAAAAACATAAGTTGTTTCAAATAAACAATCCCAAACATCCCCTAAATAAGTATCCAATGAGTTCTTCGAACCCATCAAAGATGGAGATGCATTATCCACCTAATACATGTTCCGTTGACATGCCTAAAATGAGTGAATTTATGAGGCAATAAGCCATTAAATTGAAAGCATCAAACATATAAGAGTTTACATGTTATCACAAGTTCTCGAAAAACCATATATTAATTCCATGGCCAATTCATGTACACTAATGAGTTGCGTTTTAGAAGAGAAATGATTCGGTGCATTTTGACATTCAATTGAGGATCGATCCAAGTGTGAAAATCTATTCTCACCGTAACTTTTCTTCTTACAAGAACCCAACTCTAAAGTACGTGCACTATTATACATACATATATATATATATATGTGTGTGTGTGTGCATGCGCGCACAGGCGAATGACGTGTGAGAAGGAGAGGTAAAGTGAGAAGTGTAAGAAGGGATTTAGTCCCTTGATCACCGTTAATCTCAAACTCAGGCATGAATCGCTTGATACAGGAATTGATGATCCAATACATCTCATCTTAATGTGCATCTAAGGGTGGAGATTCATTATTACGTTTCTCACCTTAACTCTCATTCTCACTAGAACCCAACCATATATATAAGCGAAAGATCATGTGAGAAGGAAAATTATGGTGATAAACGTAACAAGAGAAATGAGCCTTATATCACTTTTAATCTTATGTCCACCCATGAATTGCACTTTATAAGAGAATTGATCAGGTGCATTAAACATTTACATTCAGTTAGGATTAATCTAAAAATTGAGATATCTTCTTACGCTTCTCATTGAAAGCCAACCCTATGCATATAATGAAGCTTAACCAAATTTGAGAACTCTAAAATATGTGATATATGTGAGATCCATCATAAACCACTAATTTAGGATAATTAATGATATTAATTAATGAGATAAATACATAGATAACTATCATTATTTATTAAATAAAAACTAATGATTTTTTTAGGAAAATTCATACTTATCTCTTTCTCTCTCCAATCATCACCGTATTAACATACATATCGTACATATTGTGAACACAATGTAAACAAATTTAATAATTTTTTTAGTAAAGTGTTCACAAGGTTTACATTGGATTCATAAGTGATATGTTCAGATTTAGTTTTGTTGATTTAGTTTGTGTTCACAATATATTCATATATTATACAAGATCTTTGTAGATTTAGAGCCTTCACAATGTTTTCACAAATAACGATATTTTTCAACTAATTATGTGTATGTATTGATAATAAGTAGAAGGGTACTTGTGTAATACAACGAGATACATCTTCATTTTAATGTTCTTTTATCTTTTGTCTTTGTTAATACTAGTTGTGTACCCGCGCAATGCGGCGGAAGCCATAAATTTTAACGATTTTGAAGTTCCACTGGTTTTATAAGATAAGATTTAACGATGATATAGGTTACACTTGGTCTTTACATATTAATACAATTCGAATAAATAAGAGTTATAGTTCCAATTACAGACTATCGATGAAAAAAATTGTATGACAGTTTGAAATCCAATATATTTAAAATTCAACATATTTAAACGACTCCACAAATGTATTCGATTTACACCAAGAGCAAAAAACCAAGAAACTTGAGTTTTAAGATAAACATTCAAAACCAATAAAAAAACTACAAATTTGACAGATCATAAGTCATGAAAAGACAAAAAAAGATGAGTTTTAGAATGAAATTTCAACTACTTACCCTCTTTCTTGTCCAGAAACTCAGATTAAGGTTGAATTAATACATGTATATATATATATATATATATTTAAAAAAAAAACCCAAGAACATATTAATTCAAAACATATTATACAGTGCAATTTGGACAGCCTAACCCCAAAATATATAGTATATATATAAATAAATAACTATAAAAGTATAAATCGTAAATATTACAAATATTTTTTCACAGTATATATAATATATAATAATATAATTAAGTCAAAAACAATTCAATATTGGACTCATTTCGAAGGTATTGACGAGACGATTATAATGGTGTAACTTGTTAAAATAAAAATTTATTTTTTAAACATGTTTTAATTGATATACGATTATGTATGTTAATTTCATAAAGGTTTAAAATGAAACATTTAAAAGTAAAGGACGTAAAGTAAATTAATTAATTAATTATAATGGTATAAAGTATAAATTTAAAATTACAATTTTAAAAAAATCGGTTATATGAGAGGATGAATGTATGTAAGGGGGTGAGTGAGGTGAGTGTATGTGAGGAGAGGAATGGGTGAAAAAGTAAGTATAAAGGGTATTTTGGTCATTTAGAATTTTAAAACTTTAAGACTTTTACTAAATTTGCTTAATAAGATAGTATAGATAATACGGTTTATATCGTTTTGAGAAATATAATATTTTTTTACTTTTGAATAAAAATAAATTTGAAGACATCATAAAATTTGAAAAAATATATCGATATTAATATCAAATTAACTATTTAAAAATTTATCGTTATTTTATACAATTTCTTTGATTCAATTTTTTATTATAATTTAATTTAGGTTAAACAGTGAAGTAATTTATTCATGACTTAACAATATAATCTTTATAAAGATAATGTTTTTTTTAGAACTCAATGATTATCCTAATTATATTTTAGTTTTTTATATTTAAAATGAGATACTTATCCTATATTTGATTATGTTTATCTACAATTGGTTATACGAATTAAAAAATTGAGTTTAATAATTTGTACTTACACATAATTACTTGTAATCTTAAATTTTAAGTAATATGCATTAATAAACAGTATTTCATGCATAAATAATGGTTTTTAAGAGTTTTTGTCAAATGTTTTATAATATAATATATTGTTCAATATGGTTTCACCACATATCCGATGGAGACATCGATTTATACAACTTCCAAATCTCTCTCATGCACCGCCTTCTTAATCGCACAACACTGAAACCCATACTTTATAATTGATCACCCTGTAAAATTTGCTATTTATTCTTAATAGAATATTACTGTCTCACATGCCACAACACACTTCACTCAGTCAACCCTCAACCCTCAACCACCATATCTTTACGACGTGTAACATCGCCCCTGATCTCATTCCACTTCTAAATCATGTAGCTTTAGCTACATTTACTGAACTAGCTGATGAATTAATTATATTTGACAAAACTTAATCGAAAAACATAAATTACAAAAAATTTGAATTTAAATAACTTAATTTATTAAACTAACCAATAATCGATATAAAAAAAGTTCAAATATAAATAATCGCAATAAACCAACAAATACTCTATTATTCTGATTTCGAAAAAAATATTACTATGGGGTTGTTTTGACAATTGCTAAAAAGTTTGGTACAAAATGATTAAAAGACTCTCATGTTATAGTGCAAAATGAAATATAATTGTTTAGTAATTGTGTACAATGAAATTAGAGTTCTTAATGGTTAAGAGAGGTCCATGATACAAAATCATTTAGAAAGTTTTAGAATCATTAAGAGATAGATTTTTTTATCAAACAAGATTCATCTATTAACAATTCAAAAGTTGTCTTTAAATAAAACTATTATGAGATAAACAAACAAGATTCATCTATTAACAATTCAAAAGTTGTCTTTAAATAAAACTATTATGAGATAAACAAACAATCTCTGCCTTAAAATAAAATAAAATAAAATAAAATAAAATAAAATATTACTATCCATTCTCGGCTTTCCATCAATTTGTTCACCATCTTATCACATGAAACCAATTTACCTTGAAAAAGACGAAGAAAAATCTTGCGTCTTCTCACTGATTTCATGTAAAATCCAACGACTTACAGCGAATGTTTAGCGATCATCCTCAGGGTTGAAGCAACGTACCCCTACTCTTCCTAATCAAAGTGATCAAATTCTTCCCTCTGGACGCACTTTCATCGTTTTCAGACCAAATCTCTACCACTCGCGGCAAAAATCATGATCACAACGGTAACGGCAATCTTCAAATGATACGTATCCAATCAAAATCAAATTCTGTGGATTGATTATCTAATTTTGATTTGAATCCAACAAACATGCAGCAAAGAAGTGCTACAGGAGGAGGGGGATTGCAGAGCCCTAGATCCCCATCTTCTCAACCTCCGTATCTAACTGTATCTGTCACTGATCCTGCTAAAATGGGGAACGGTGTTCAAGCTTACATATCCTATAAGGTCATCACCAAGGTAATTTCACCGATTTCTTTTAAATTTTTTTGTTGTTGGTATTTTACATATTTATTCATGTGTTGATACTATTCGTATATTGATCGATTAGGAGGTAGTTTGACTGGGGATGGGTTTCACTTCAGTTAATGCAATTATTGGCTTAGATAGCCTCTTACAGAATTCAATCAAAAGGCTGATTTTAAACATGAGGACCATTGTAGCTTATCAGTTTGGTGTTTCAATTAAGAGGAAATGGCTTTAAAACCTGGGAACTTCAGGTCAAACTCTAGTTTTTCACTTCCACTTTGCGAGCCAATAATAGAAAACGAAGAACTTAAAAACTCTTGAATATACATTGAGTCAATGAATATGTCACTATTAGTTAGGAATCCTCAATTGCAATAATTTTGAAGGGCAATGAACACGGTCCTTATATAAAGGAGTATCCATTTTACTTTGGACGGTCATGTGTTTTACTATTTCTTGAAGCTGGGGGGGGGGACTAGATCCCTAGTGAATGAATGTTATGAGGATTTTGAAGGGCAATGAACACGGTCCCTATATAAAGGAGTATCCATTTTCTCTTCTGTTGATGGATCAGATGAAATTAATGTCAGAGTATAAAGGAAACATGTGCGCTTATGTGTTTCCCATTTTGATAATTTGAAACAAGGTAAATAAAGGTATAGTGTTATTGTGGCACAGTCTCTAGGTTGACTTGTGTGGAAATCGGAGTGATGCTTTGTTGTCTGGTCGCAGATGTGTTTTTGCAGTTATGTTGAGTGTGATCTGGCCTAGGCTATGAAGCTGGTGTCTCCTTTCTTATTGAAAGGTGGCATTTAAGTGTCTCATATAGAATTAACGTGAATATTAAGAGAAGTATAAACTAAGGACCATCAGTCATGAAGTTGTATTATATGTTGGTGGTCCCCTGAAACATGTTATTTTAGTACTGGCGAATTGTTGTTGTGTTTTATCCTCATTAATCAACATGGGTTAATGGCGAATGAGGGATACTTGCTATGGGTGAGCGATACTTAATCTGCAGTGAAATGGAATCAGGCAATCTGGCAATGATTGCAGGTGTGGGTCCAAGTCACCAACTCACCACCGTGGGGTGATAGATGGCATGGGGGTGTACGTTCCTTAAATCTGTATTTTCAGTGAAGGATCCTTTCTTACCAATAATGAGAAAAACATGACTACTGTCTACGGTAATATCAGTTCAAGGCCAATATGTGGTTAGTTTGGGCATTAAGCAAACCAAATCCAACGACATGACAATCGTCTTTATACAAGGCTGTTGATTTTGGAAGAGAATATGCTTCGGGAGATTAGGTCCTGACATATCCATCCAGAGATTCGGCCCTCTGTATTTTCACATCACCTTTTCCCATGAATAATATATTTTTTGCACTTTTCACCTTTTCCAAAGAGAAGGGAATTATTTTGAGGATGCAGTGCATTTGCACAACCACTATTTCTTTCTTCTTTCTAGTATTGATGTATCAAATCGTCAGTACTACTGTTATTTCATTCAGATGTTTGTTTTGCAGACAAATTTCCCGGATTATCAGGGTCCAGAAAAGATTGTCATTAGACGTTACACTGATTTTGTATGGTTGCGCGACCGTCTCTTTGAGAAGTACAAGGGTATCTTCATTCCTCCACTTCCAGAGAAGAGCACTGTAGGTAAGATATAAGTCTGCCTTTATTCTACTTGTGACACTTTGACTTTATTTGCTTTGAACATAGAAAAATGTGTTGAGATTGTCTGTCATTAACATTTCCTATCATGTGTCTAAGCATGCTTTTTCATTGTTAGTGTTTAGATTATCTGTCATTAACATTTCTATTATATGCCTTAAGTATGTATTTATTGTCAGGTTTTTTGCTTCTTTAATCAGGTAACTTATTGGCATGCATTGATCCGGTAATTTATGGTGTCCCGTTTTTGGAAGTTACAGAGTTGGGATCCTCTTTCAAACTGTTTGGTTCTTGTAGTTTATAGACATCTTTGATTGGCACACATGTATATATTACTGTCTCCTTGCAGTCATCACTCTTACAAATATTGCTGGGTTCATTGTTTTTATCGAGTCATTCCTTCTTCTGTACTAGCTGATTCGGAGCTGTTATTCATTCATGGGGTAGTGAGTATTCGGAATTTAGGATTCATAAAGCTCTGATTAATTGTGAAAGAAAAAGTAAAATACGTATGTATCTTAATTTTCTTAAACCACATATGATGTGTGGGTGTATATGTATGTGTATATCTGTATACATATGTATGCATGGGAGTATATGATGTTATATGAGAGGCTAATCCATACATTTTTCTTATATATGTGGGCATGACACACCACATAAGAGTTAAAATCCTTTGCGGTCGCCAGACATCCACACGATTTTCTCTTATTTTCTGTGGGCCACACTCTTCTCACATGTTATATACACCTGCTGATGTTAGATATATTAGGGCTTGGTTTCTCATATAGGTATAATTAAGTTTTCAAATCTTGATTCACAAGGCCTGCCAAAATTTCATTCTAATGAATCGTGAACCATATCGAGTTGTAAGATTTGCTTAAAAAATTTCAAGACTATTGTGAATGCACCTAAAAAGTTGTGAACATACATATACTCACTAATGAACCTATGTATGCATGTCGGTTAAAAAACATAGGAGTATGTCTCCCAAGTGCTAGACGCTCTCTAAGATACTGTTTGGGCCCACCTTCATCATTCTTGAAGTCCTTGCTTGTCAACAATTGTATGTCACCCTGTATTATATCATACTTTTATACTTAAGATTGCTTAGATAATAAATATCTTCTCAAAATAATAAAATTGATAATAGAATTTTCATGGTTTTAGGAAGACTAACAAATTAAGAACTTAAGATTAAAGAAAAGAGAGTACGTAGACTTGGAGAGACAAATGGGAAATACAGTGCATAAAAACAATGAGAACCTGCATGAGCCATTGCAGGAAACCCTTCCAGTTGCTAGAAGAGAACATTATAGAAGCGGAGTAAGAATAGTAACTGTCTTGGCTTCATGAACTCTGAGGCTGAAAGAAATGTACCCTTGTGAGAAAAGTTACCATGATATACGTAACAATATATACATAACAAAAACCATTTTAAAGAAGCCACTTAATGATAAAAGGGAAATTCAAACAAGATTCAGTTTGCTAGCAGAGTTTGTACCATTTACTTCATTAATCGAACCAAGCTGTATCTTGAGTTGTACAATCTTAACAATACTGATATGTATATAGACTCATATAATTGTATGACTGCTATACAAAGCAAGCAGAGCCTGGAGGCCAATCTTTAGACCACCTCATCTTTAATTGTTAATCTTTGAACCTTCATATGTTTGTGGAGGACACACTTAAAACGCTTCTTATAATTGTAGTAAATGGAGACAAAATTGCATATAATTTACTTAATCTCTTTCAAATGACTGACTATGACTTCACAAGTGCAGAGAAGTTTAGATTCAGTGCTGAGTTCATTGAGATGAGGCGTCAAGCATTGGATACATTTGTCAATAGGATTGCGATGCATCATGAACTTCAGCAAAGTGAGGATCTGCGAACCTTTTTGCAGGCTGATGAACTGGTAACTGTTCTGGTTTTGATGCTTAGCTAAAAAATCATTAGTTCTCCATAAATGCACTATGATATCGTTTATTACATGTTCTAGATGAGAAGATGCAATAGAAACTTTTCTTGTCCTCATGCTTGGTTGCTGATTTTCTTTTGTGTAGTGGTCACTAGGCAAAATTTTCAATTCTCTTATTTGCGTGCATGTAATTTTATCTTTACACTAGTTCAAATAATTTGTCTCATTGCTACTTGTTGGCTGTTTTGCAGACAATGGAAAGAGCAAGGTCACAAGATACCGGAATCTTCAAGAGGAAGCCGTCGGATTTGATGCAGATATTCAGGGTAACACATAATATGGAATTGAAAGGAAGTGGAAGTAATGTATTTATGCATGATGAAATACACACAAACATGTATGTTACGTGGGATGTGTTTTAAAAGGCATGAATTTTAGGAATTCAACAAAAGGGCATTAGAATCCTAGGTATTGCGTATATAGAACCTAGGATCTCTCAAGCATGCAATAAACCTAAGCACTTGCACTGCAGGGAGATTGCATTGTGAGACCATAGTTTGGAGAGAAGTTTTAGGTTTGTTTTCTACGAAACAGTATCTTGGAAATTAACTGGATAGCATCCCTATTTGAAGGGAACAAACACTCAAATGCTATTACATACGAGGAAAAGCTCAATTACATCAATAAATTCTCAATTAAACATCAAAGAGACACCAATTTCCTCTATATAAAATACCAACCCTTTGCACCAGAACTATTGGCTGTGGAACGACCAGTTTAACGGTGTTTTGCTGTTTTAATCATTTTATTACTGAATAAAAACATATAGAAAGGTGTAATTGTAAACCACGTGGTTTGAGGAAAAAAAATTAGGCAACAAAACTTTATATTTAAAAACCCAAATATATTGCATTCAGAAATGCTATTACATGCAGCAAAACTATGGGTTAGTTCTGCCTACCAGTCTTTCAAATATAACTTCCCAGAATTATTTATACAAAACTATTGGAATAAGTTTGTATCTCTGACCTAATTTGGCTCAAGGCTAAAATTCTTCTAGCAGAAGTTGTGAAATCAGATTGCATAACTCTAATTATCATTTCTCTCTTCTCAGCGGTGATCATTGTTTTTTTTGTGTGTGCCAGAATTGCATGTCTATATTGGGTTTCATGATACCTGATGTTTCTTTAATATCACCATCCCTACAAAATATGAGACGTCTTCAAGGGAATTCATGCAACATTTAGTTAGTTGGAATTTTTAATATCAATCTTTTCTCTGTTTTCTAGTTTTCCAGTTTAGTCCTTTTCTTTTTTCTTCAATCACTCATATGCTGCTTGATTTCCTACACATCTGTCCACTTTCACTTTCAGTTCCTTAGATTTATCCAATTAAAAAGATAACCTCTTAATTGCAACAATCAGATACCTAATACCTTAGATTTATCCAATGTCGCATCTATGTGCATGAACCTTTTCCAATTCCTCATCTCATATCATCTTCACCACCTGCTACCACGACCCTCTTTATCAACGACTTGCCACACTCACCACTCACACCCACAATTCACATATACAATTGCACACAGAGATATGTATTACTAATCAGGCCAATGGTTATTTAGGGAGATGGATAACTAGATGGGGAGAGTCTATAGATAGAGCCTCCACATATATGAAAGTAACGGCTTTGAGCTCCACCAACAAAAATCAACAAGAAAAGACTTCACCTTGTAGAAATCTCTGGTTTCAATTTCAATAGCTCTTGCTTTTATTTAAATTTTTTGAATTTGGTTCGTATGTTTTAGATTTGTGTTTCTGTGTAAATTTAGCCTTGTCATGTCAAGACTGCAAGGAGGATGGTTTAGCTCTTGCTCAATGCAACACTAGAAAGCTATTATACCAATTGAATTGGTCGTCAAATTCTTTTATGATACAAATCTTTTTACGTGGCAGATGGCATGGCCATCAAAGTTTTTCTGTAGACCTCTCTTTTGGTAGCAGTTGGTGTGGCCATCAAGGGACCAATAGTTCTGCATCTTTAAAAATGTTAAACTGTCAATTTGTATGTATCTGTTCTATAATCTGACTCGTGCAAGGATTGACCACACAACTCTGCCTTGAAAGATCTATATATCCATCAGATAATCTAATATCATGTTATGGATGCAACAGGATGTCCAATCTAAAGTGAGTGATGTAGTTCTTGGGAAAGAAAAGCCAGTGGAAGAAACAAATCCAGAGTATGAGAAATTGAAACGCTATATATTTGAGCTTGAAGATCACTTAGCTGAAGCCCAGAAGCATGCATATCGTCTAGTAAAGAGACATAGAGGTACTTCAAACTTGTAGCAGCCTCTACAGTAGTTCCTTAACCTTTCAGTAGCTACTTCTGCAGTTACAGATTATATATTAGATGTATATTAAACACAATTGGCAATTCTGAAGAACAAGGAGACAAAAGCTTGTTTTGATGTTAGACGAAGATTGATATCTGATAAAAATTTAGTTGCTTGTGGTTTAGCAGAAATTCTTGCTTTCTGCAGAATTGGACACGGATATCAACTGACCATAATGGATTGGGAGAAAAGGCCGATGTAGTTGAGTTGCTATAACACAATCTTTTTAATTATTGTTACAGAGTTGGGGCAATCTCTAGCAGATTTTGGGAAGGCAATCAAGCTCCTTGGTGCTTGTGAAGGAGATGCTCTTGGGACTGCATTCTCTGAGCTTGGAGCAAAATCCGAGATGCTATCAATCAAGCTACAAAGAGAAGTCAGTTTCTATATATGTACTCCCCCATCTAAAAAAATAGGCGCCCACATTAAATAAGACACTGTTTAGAAATGTGTAATTATTACACTTTTTATAATCAACTAAATGACAATTTTACCCTTAATAATGGGGGTACTAATGAATTTCTCCATCTCGTAATTAAGCGTAGAATTGGAAAGCTTAAAAGTAAATACTTATTCTGGGACAAGCTAAAGTAGAAACGTGGACAAATATTTTGGGACAGAGGGAGTAAATTTTTTTAGATGTCTACATTATTTTGAAACGACAAAACATAAGTTTGAACCTATGATAAATCAGTACAAAATATTGGGTAACTCTATTGATCTTTGCATGTGGATGCTGCATCTAACATCTCTTTTTGTGATATATTTTAAGGCCCACCATCTATTAATGAATTTCGAAGAACCTCTGAAAGACTATGTACGTGCTGTGCAATCTATCAAGGTAAGTTTTGAACTTCCAAAGCTCGTCAATGACCAACTACATAGGCTGTGATACTTATGTTTCTTGAATTTCTCTCATTTTCTTGTTTCTGATTTATGAACAGGGGACAATAGCAGAGAGGGCCAATGCTTTTAGGCAGCAGGTTGAATTGGCCGAGACGATAAAGCTAAAGGAAATTGATCTGTATGATTTCCAATATGCAATATTTCACTTGATCATCTAGATTGCATTAATAAACCAAACAAACCTGAAGGTGGGGTCCCCCGTCCCGTCCCCCGGGGGGGGGGGGGTGTACACAGGCCTGACCTCCACCTAAAGAGTAGAGAAGACCCTCGGCTTGTGTATAAAGTGCAAAAAAGTACGTTAAAAGAACATAAGAACACTCAAAAAGAACTTGAGAAACAAGAAAAAAATGCTAAAATTTGAAAACGAGTTAGATTGCATAAATGATGAGCAAAATGGATCTGAGAGCCATAGTTTTCTTATAAATCCAAATCATTATTTATCCTGAATCTTGATTTCATGATCAAGTCAGGGTTGAAACAGGAAACATGAATAACTTTTTGTTCTTAGATTATGTCTGAATTGCTGTTGCCCCATTATGAAATGATTTATTATTTATTAGTGTCAAGAACTTTTTGCAATGTGACATTCTCATTACTGCACGGCTGATATGGCAATGACTTAATTTGTCATATTTCTGGTTCTACCTTCACTTTTATGGCTAGCAGGTTCATCCTAAAAGCTATGTGATATGTGGGGAATGAGCCCTTGTTATAGATGAGTTATTGTTTAGAAATTTAACTATGGAAGTACTAGCATCTACTTTGTTATAAGTAAAGTTTATCAAACAAAGCCAGTGCGTCCCACCCGGAGTTGGGATCTGGTGAATGGGATGTACGCATACCCGATCTCTACTTTAAACTGTTTCCGTCTTTGTTATAAATAAAGTTTGTGAAACCAAAAACCACAAATTAAAAAGTGCTCATTCCATTGCTCTAGAATCCATGAGGCAGGATTTAGGAGGTTGCTGTTGGCTTACCATATTCCGTAAAAAAGCTAAAGTTTAGCTTTTGGTTTTCCTGTGAGTTAGTTGAGGCTGTTAATGAAATGCATAATGTTCTGTGCTTATGGAACAGAGTTCTCTGATTTAAATACGGTATTTATACGTATTGATGGTTCATATTTGTATTATATTTGTGTTTCAGCAACAAATTCAGGCTAACTCGATCGGAAAAGATGTCAGAAGCGGAGCATGAGTATGAGGAGGTTAGTAAATTATGCATTAATTGCTCTACTACGGGATTCATAATTGAAAGTATTACAGAACACTTTGTTAAGAAATTTCTCGTCTCTCTTATGGGAAATAATTAAACACCCCTCACTTTCTTCATCCCTGTGCATTTCTCAAGTGTTAGGATACTTTTAGATGGAACGCTTGCTGAAGTTTGCCTGGTAGCTTTCTAATATCCCAGAGATAGATTTTGACTGTCAACACATTTGAATTTATTTCCTAAACAATTTGGCAGATTTTTAGGTTGCGAGTCTGTAAAGCATCATAACTAGGAATTAAGAGTTTTTGGTATTTTCCAGTTTTCACGGCTAAAACTCTTAGATTGCGTTCGGTAAGTGTAACCAAATGTCTTTATAGTGTTTTGGTGATGAGACAAAATGTTGAAATGACCAAGTTGCCCCTAAAGTATTATTTAATGTTTATTTACCTTGTAATAATCATAAATGAGACATGTCAAGTAATTATTTAAATAATTTTGTTATAAACATTGATTCATAATTTCTTTTTATTATATGTATATATCATAAACTTTTAATATATGTATATGTAATACTAGGGTTGGGTTCCGGTGAGAAGGAGAGTTAAGGTGAGAAGCGTAAGAAGGGATCTCCACCTTTGGATGTACATTAGGATGAGATGCAGCGAGATGAGATGCACCTAGATGCACGGATCAATCCTTGTATCAAGCGCGATTCATGGGTGGGTTTGAGATTAAAGGTGATCAAGGGTCCAAATCCCTTCTTACGCTTCTTACGCTGCTCACCTTACCTCTCCTCACACGATCCTTCGCCTATAATACTATACATATCATAATAGTTTATATATGTGTGTGTGTGTCTATATATATATATATATAGGGTTGGGTTCCGGTGAGAACGAGAGTTGTTGAGAAGCGTAAGAAGAGATATCCACCATTGGATGCACATTAGGATGAGATGCACCTAAATGCACCGTATTAATTCCCATGAGAAGCGCAATTCATGGGGGGCACGAGATTAAAAGTGATCAATGGTCTAGATCCTTTCTTACGCTTCTCACCTTAACTCTCCTTCTCATACGATGCTTCGCCTCTCAATTTAACTCCTATTCTCACTTGATCCTTCATCAATCTATCTATCTATCTATCTATATAGATATATAGGTGAAGAATCGTGTCAGAAGGAGAGTTAAGATGAGAAGCGTAAGAAGGGATCACCTTCAATCTCAAACCCACCCATGATTCGCGCTTGACACGGGGATTGATCCGGTGCATCTCATCCTAATGTGCATCCAAGGATAGAGATCCTTTCTTACGCTTCTCACATTAACTCTCCTTATCACCAGAACCCGACCCTAACATGAGAAGTGTAACAAAGGATTTGGACCCTTGATCACTTTTAATCCCATAACAACCCATGAATTGCGCTTCGAAGGGAATTGATCTAGTGTATCTCATTAGTGTTGATCTAGTGGTTCTCTTCGATTAGGATTGATCTAAGGGTGGAGATCATTTCTTACCCTTCTCACCATAACTTTCATTCAAACCGGACCCAACCCTTTACACACACACACACACACACATATATATATATAGGTGGAGATTCGAACAAGAACATCATCATTTTACGAAAGTGTGAAAACACCCCTATCACATATTATAATAGACCTGAGGGGACTGATGGTGTGCGGGCGACTTGGCCTGTGACCTAGGTTGCACCAAGGTCGCCCTAATCCTGATTTACTATCACATATGATGGATTGCAGTATCACATACGCGCCATTTGTACTTGCAACTTTTGGTAGCTTAAGTTGAAACTTCTTCAATCAGTAAGTAGTTTTACACCACCAAGCATCTCTGCAAAAACCTGCAAGTGAAAACATTATATGTTGACAGCTGAATCCCCCAAGTTTCTTATGTCATATGTTCTGACCTACCTGCTAACATAACTCGAATGCAGCTGAAAGCTGATGGTGAGGAAGCAACCAAAAGATTCGAGACGATAGTGCGGCTAATGAATGAAGAAATCGTGCGTTTCCAAGATCAAAAAACACAAGATATGGGTCTGGCTTTCCATGAATTCGCAAAAGGGCAAGCACGTCTAGCAAATGGTATTGCTGACGCTTGGCGAAGTCTCCTTCCGAAACTTGAGGCTCTTTCTTCCTCATAACCGAGCTTTAAACCCCAACACGTTCACCCATCGAGAACGGTCTTTCCGTCGAGATGACTGTTTTCTGTTTGCTTTCGTTGTCTGTATTTTAACGTCCAACACATTTGAAATCTTCATTTTATTGGGTAGACTTTTTTGAAAATTTTGCTGTTCATTTTTCTAGAGAGATGTATTAGTATTAGTATCAGTATCAACATCAACATCCAATCTAATTGTGTTGACAACTTTTTCTTATGTTTTACACTATTTTTTCTTGCACATTTTGTTTGTTCCATTTGTGTTCGTAGTTGCTCCTTCTACCTTTTTACTCGCGTTGTTGCACAAGTCAAAGGTTCTTACAGAAATAGTTGTTTTACTTTTTTTGAGGTAGATGGTATATCTATACGTATTGATTTGGTTCGAGGTTTTTGTACCCTTGAGATTGAGGGTGTTCATGGGTTGGGTTGAATGTATTTGAACAATCAAATTCAATGTTTGTGGTTTGAAAAATCTTGACCCAACTCAACCCGAACCAAAATACAACTCAACCCGTATGGGTTGGTCGGGTTGATATTTTGGTACATTAAAATATTTTTCTAACATATAATATGTTATTTCTCTACTCATATTTTTTTTTCATCATCAACTATTTGATACAACTTATCCATATACTTTTTATGTATATCACATTCAGTTAATTTTCTCAATTTACATATATATGTTCACAGTTACTGAACATATATWCGAATGAGTTATATAAAGATGTAAATAGATTGAAAATATGTGTATATGAAAAGCATACATGATAGTATAATTGTCTAATGTGCATATTAATAGAAATTTAACAATCATATTAAATCAAAGAAATAAAAAGATATCGGATTAATCGGGTTGGGTTGAGTTCAAATAATAGTATTTTAAATGCTAATAGTATTTTAAATTGTTTTATTCGAATAAATTATATATATATATATATATATATATTTTATAATTATAGTTGATACATTTATTGTTTATAAAACTAAAAAACGCTAGAAAAAAGACTTGGCAGGTTAATCTACAACCCGTATTAAAACCTTACTTTGTTTGAACCCGAGTTTATTTACACTATTTTTTCAATTTGTCAATACTGTCTATCTTATTCTATTTTCTAATAGATATAAAATTATTAAAGGTGTTTGATTTAATACAATGATATCAACTATTAACACATATTACTTAATGAAACATCTCACAACACATATATGAAAACTCATATCATTCCTCAACGTTTTTATCATCAATCTTATCTATATATCTTAAAACAAACCAAACGTTAGAATAGACGATAGTAATAGAAAACATAATAAAAAGTTTGATATTTATAACGCATCCAAACACAAATTTATAAAGCTTTCGCCTCACCTGAGTTTCGGCTCGAGCTATATGAGACAAAAACTCGTCCCACGATTTTCTTAGACTGGGTTTCATTTTTGATCCCTTATCTATGGCTACTTTTTGGTTTTGGTCTATAAAATTCATAAAATACATTGGTGGTCTATTTTTTATGTTTCGAATTCAAAATAATCCCTCCTGTTAACGCCTTTAGAGAATGATATGTTAAGTGACGTTTGAGAGGTGGAATTTACTCCATAGATGAAATATCAAAAATGCAATTCACTTCGTTTTCTTATTCTAAAAATCATTAGTTAAAAAGACAAGGGGCTAAAACCAATATTTATCTGATAGTTTAGGGACCATTTATATAAAATTTACCCCATGAATTTTATCTATGGCCTTGTGGAACGAAGCATCGCCCCAAAATTCAAAAACCATATCCTATAAATATATGGACCATTAACAGCCACTTTCCTCGATCCCTCTATTTCACCGGCCATGGCTACGGTATGTAGCAGGCAGCTCTTCCTGCATCTAAGAGGATTCGTCGGCTCGAAGCTGCCATTTTCGTCGGCTCTGGTTAGTCCTCGATTTCACTTACCGGAAAACAAGAAAAATTGGGGTTCGAGACTAGTTTTAACTGGTGAATTTACCGGCTGTGTTGTTCCTCGAGCATCTCCGACGAACGGAAACATCACTCCAGCCGGAGACGATGAAGAAGGAGTGTCTTTGGGAACGATGAGACTGCCTATGAATACCGATCTCGATAGATTTGAAGCCTTGCTGTTTCAGGTACCCTACTTTACTCTGTCTGTTAAAATCAATTTCTGAAAAAGGAGATGTTTGAAAAAACCAGGGGCTAATGATTTGGGGGCAGATATCAGAATAAATAAGAGGCTCTCATGATATAGTTCAAAATGAAATATAATTGTTTCTTAACATTTTACAATGAAATTAGAGTGCTGAATAATTATTTACAATGAAATTAGAGTGCTGAATAGTTAAGGAAGGTCCGGATACAAAATTATTCATAGGGAATCATTAAAGGACATATTTTTTTTTGCCAAATAATATTTACATCTTAATGATTCAGAATCTTCATCTTAATGAAACTATTAAAAGGTAAACAAACAACCCTAGCCTTAAATAAAAATTTTAAATGAAAATATAATTAATTTTTCTCATTATTTTGAAGAGTAAGTTTTTTCAAACTATAATTTTAATAGAAAACTATTAAACTTTCTAGTTTTAAATGATTAAATTCTTAAATATTTTTTGAATAAATTAAATGATTGAATTTTTAAAAATTGGTTACTTATTTCATTTTAATTCAAAAATGTATTGTAACCCACTAGAAATGTCTTAAAATGAAACTACTTATAAACCCCTAAAAATAGATCAAAAAGAGGGAGATCGATGACAAACCAACAATATGATAACCGATACGAAGAACGGGTAACGATGGGAAGACAAGAGTGGTGAGGGGGAGTAATACCATTGTTTGTGAGTGGTTTGAAAGGCGTACGGTTTGGAAACAGTAAACTGATTTAAGTTTTTCTTTTACTTTAAGGCATTTCTAGTCCCTAGTCGGTTCCATGTAGTTTTTTTTGTTAAAAACGTAGGTAACAAATTTTTAAAAGTCCGATCATTTATTTATTACAAATAAATAGTTCAAGAATTTAATCATTTAAAATGAGAAAATTTAATTGTTTTTTTCATTCAAAAAAATAGCTCTTGGACTTAGTCGTTCAAAATAAGATGGTTTGTTTAATTTAGTTCTAGACTTTTTTGTAAAAAAAAAACCTAAACTGGTTTTACCATTCCTAAACTGTATGTCCCTCAAACCCTTGCAAGGTTTTTTCCACTTTAAAATCTTCGTACCCATTTACAAATGGTTTTTTTAGGTTAAGATAAGGCAGATAACTGAGGGGCACTTTACCGAACGTTTACTTGGGTAAATGTGCTTAACGGTAAAATTCAATATTATGATTTACTTATCGAGTAAGATTTTAGTCCACGAAATCGGTATTGTTTGTAACACTTTACACGGTAAGTGCTAACTATGGGAAGAGTATTGCCCTCACTTAGCAGGTAAGACTCTCGTCCTTGCTTTCGCTCTTATCGGGTAAGATTCTTGGTCCTTACCGTATTTATTCAGTAAGGTAATGTAACTTGGTAAACATCCGGAAAACAACCCCTAATTTTTAAAACTTTTATTATTAAAATAAATATTCAGAACTTAATAATTCAAAACGAAATCAAGGAGTTCATCACTCAAAATGGAAACATCGTTGAACTTTTCCTTCTAAAACATGATAAGTGTAGCTCAACTGACAATAAGACTTTGACATTTGGGGATTCTCTTCAGAGGTCACCTGTTCGAGTCCTATAAGACCACTGAAGATATTCCTGGTTGTTCTCTAAGACCCTGAGATTAGTCGAAGTACGCCCAATCTGACCCAAACACCCACAGCTAAAATAAATCCTATAAATTTAGAGTACTTGCATAGAAATACTGAATGAAACTAACAAAAATGAGTTGATATGTTTATAGAAGTTTGTATCTAAAGCCTGGTGTGTATGTTTATCAACAGTGGGCCAACAGTTTATCCCAAGGTGCCCAATTACCACTTCCCATGCCTCTAAAGGTTAGTTGTCTACATTCCCATTTAATATTGAAACATCTGCATATGTTATATTAAGACATGACTGATTGATTAAGACAAAAATCAGGTAGATGAGACAATATTAATAAATTAAAACCATCATTCTCGTCTGGTCCTCCCTCGTTAAGTTATGTCGGGTCTTGACATGAAATTATGTAAGTGAAACAGGTTGATAAAATCCAAGGAGGAGTAAGGCTCGGGTTCATTACAATTGGGGATGGAGTCACGGAGGTCCCTGTGTACATAGACTGTTTGGTTTTTCCGGCAGTTGCAGGTTCAACGCCCGTTTTTCGAGCCGTAAGAGATGGGCCGATGAAAGACCGGTCACCTCCCGGAGAACCGAGAATCATGAAAAGCCTTCTTGCTGCCCTTAAAAAATCGGTTGAATTAGCTACACTTTGAAACCGTTTCTTTTCTTTTTATGTTACTTTTTGCTTGCATATGTCTTTATACAATTACGTTTACATATTTGGTTGTCGGTAAGAAATTGTTGGTGTTTTAACCCCACTCGTTTTAACCGTTTTATCAAGATTCTTAAACCTAATGAACTTGGGTTTAGAAGTCAATGTTTGTTTTCTGAATGATCAATTTATACTGTAAGAAATAATTTAGTATTTTTTTAGAATTCTTAAACCTAATGAACGTGGGTTTAAAGTTCTTGTTTTTTTGTATATTTTTTAATTCATTCTTTAATTTTTGATTCAATAATATAGTTTTTTATAAAAATAATAATTAAGTATTTTGTCAGAACTTAATAATTATCTTAATTATATTTTAAATTATATATATATATATATATATATAATAAAATATTTATTCTCTATTTGATTATGTTTATCTATAGTTAGTTACACGAATTCAAATATAAAACTTTAATAGGTTGTACATATGTACAATTTACTTGTAATCTTTAATTTTAATAATATACCTCAATAAAAAAAAATACTTTATGCATAAAAATTGGTTTTTAAGAGTTTTTGTTAAAAATATAGTATATATATATATATAAATACTTTTATTGATGTATATTATTAAAATTAAAGATTACAAGTAAATTGTATATATATATACAATGAATACAAAATTAACACAATAATGATCCAAACAAACTTAATTTCAAACATCAACACAACTTGATCTCCATTTTAGAATTTGGATATATTTCATGGTAGTATTGTATCAATCTTTCATATGATCAAAAACCTAAATCAAAATTAAATACGAACAAGATATGATTATAAATCCAAAATCCCTTACAGTTATGTTTATGAAAGATACTCTCCTGTTTACCATTATAATCAGTCTTGATTTAAGTTTTTTTTTTCTTTTATGGTTACTCATTATTCCACATTAATTGCTGTTACTATGATCTAATTATTAATAAACTTTGATAACCTTATTATAAATTAAACAATTTTTTTTTATCATTGATCAAGAAAAAGACGAATTTACATTAAAATAATATAAATACCTTTTTTTAATTTTAATATTAATAACAATAAATGATGTTATTTATGAACAAAAAGGCTGGTTTGCCCGAGAGGTTAAGGGGGAAGACTTAAGATCTTCTGCACATAAGTGCGCATGGGTTCGAACCCCATAGCCAGCATTTATTATTATTATTTTATTTTATTAAAAATAAACTCACACAAGTTATTTCCCCGCCCACACCACCGCTTCATTCTTCTCCTCCGACCGCCGGAATACTCTCTCCACCGGAATGTTTCTACCAAAACACCACCACCCTTTTCTTCAATCTCGGTATCCGCATCTCATCATCCAACATCATTCTTTAATTTCATTACTCCAACGATTCCCGATTTGGAGTCCGTTTGAACATGGCTTTGAATCCTCCCTTGACAGAATTAGTGATCATGAAGTCAATTTGAAGTTTAACGATTGAACGCAGGTCAGATGGAAGCATCATAATCACCGATTTTGTGGATACGAATCCTAACATGATTTCAGGTTTTCCACAGTTATATACTTTCACTTGATTAATGGATGTTTATATTTAGTTGATTGCACATTTGAATCATGGAAGATTTTGTTTCCTTATTTGTGATCTTGATCCGTTTGCGGAAATGTCGGGAAGAACAGCTTTGGCGCCAAATCAATCTACTCATGAAAAGGAAAGTAAATATGATCCTAAGAGAAGTATAATTCCTAAACTCTAAAACCTTCCATATCTAATATCTTCTCAATCACTATAAATTAACACACACCACTTCTCAATCCTATGCTTCAACTTCTTCTTCACCATTAGGGTTTATATCTTTGCATTTGTCTATCGAAGTTTCTTATTCTTCTTCTACGTTTTGTGTCTGTTTCCTTGAGATCAAGGGCTATAAACAATGGAAAAATATCAAAGAATCAGAGAAATTGGGCGKGGGTCATATGGGGTTGTCTTTAAAGCAYTGAATACAGAGAAYGGAGAACTGGTTGCAGTCAAGAAGATGACCGACAGRAAGWATTATTCGAGWAAAGAATGCATGAATCTGAGAGAAGTCARGTCACTATGCAAGATGAGGAATCATCCTAACATCGTCAAGCTCAAAGAAGCCGTTGTACAAAACAACATACTGTTCTTGGTGTTTGAATACATGGAATGCTCTCTCTGGCATCGTATGAGACACMKAACAWATCCCTTCTCYGAAATCGAGATCAGAAACYTGTGCTTCCAAATCTTTCAAGGTCTTGCATACATGCATAAYGAAGCCGGCTACTTCCATCGCGACCTTAAACCGGACAACCTTCTAGTTTCCAAGGATGTGATCAAGATTGCGGATCTTGGTCAAGCTCGTGAGATCAATGGCGAACCTCCATACACCGATTACATTACAACACGCTGGTATCGTGCCCCYGAGGTTCTTCTCCATGCGCGAGCACATGATTCTTCGGTTGACATGTGGGCSATGGGTGCCATCATGGTTGAATTRTTTACCCTCCGACCACTGTTTGAYGGTTCTTCTGCAACAGAGGTAATGCGTAAGATTTGCAGCGTGATCGGCACCCCAACAGAAACCACATGGAGCTTGGGAATGTATCTTGCGAATAATATCAATTATCGGTTTCCAGAGTTTCCGGGTGTGGATCTTTCCTCATTGATACCATGTGCAAGCCCAGAAGCAATCAATCTGATCTCTACCCTCCTTTCATGGAGTCCATGCGCAAGGCCAACAGCCAAAGAGGCACTTGAGCACCCATTCTTCTATGGGTGTTATTACCATATTCCACACCCCCAATTCGACTGCGTTACTTCGTCTCGAATGATGAGAGACCGAGCGCTACCACTGGTATTTAAAATGGCGATGCGACGGGATATGTTGAAGCAGATCACTCGACGTCTGGAAAGTTGCTTGAGTGGGTTAAAAGGATCGGAGACTCCAAGGGAAGACTTGGTGCATCATCTCCCAGAAATCCTATTCGACTTTGAGGGTTAATTCAGTTTATACATGTATGAATGGATATGGGTAAATATGTGGGGGTTTTGGTTGAAAGCTGTAGGTTATGAAAGTATTGCATTAAAGGTGTTAATTAAGGTGTGTTAGTGTTATAAACTCTTGTTTTGTTGCTGCTGCTTCATTGGTTATGAATGGTGGGTTCTTCCTTTTCATTTTAGACGTGTTTCATCTCAATTTTACATATAAATCGATGAATATATAAATCAAACGAGCGGAGTCAATAATTCAAGATTAATATTCATCAAATTACAAATTTATTGAAATTTCAAGAGAGTGAACCACATAAATAAATATATATATATATAGTCATCAATTATCATTAATGTTTTAGGAGCCCTTTATCAAACGCTTACCCGGCTAAGTGCTTACCAAGTCATATTATTTTACTGGATGAATATGACAAATACCAAAAATCTTACCCGGTAAGAGCGAGACAAGGAACAATAGTCTTGTACGGTAAGTGAAGACGACGACTCTTACCATGGTAAGAGCTTATCGGGTAGATTATTGCATACGGTGTTGTTTTTGTGGAGTAAAATCTACCCCGATAAATAAGTAATAATGTTGAATTTTACCGGTAAACACTTATCAGATAAATATTTAATAAACGGCCCCTTAATTTCATTCACATGAGAGAGGTCCCTTCCTGTCAAATTCTTTTGTTAAATGCTCTAGCCCAAGGGACACTTTGGTCATTTTAGAATACTTTTTAAAATAAACTTAAGCAGTTAAGTGTATTACTATTATCGTTAAGGCTGTAAACGAACCGAAAATTCAATAAACCGTTCGGTTGGAAGTTCATTAATGTTCGTTTATTTAATAAATGAACGAACATGAACAATATTTTTTGTTCGTTTAGTTAAATGAACAAACATGAACAAGAGTCAGTGGATTGTGAATCCACCATGCGCGGGTTCAATTCCCGTCGTTCGCCCAAATTTATTTTTTTTAATAAATTATTCGCTACAAAGTCATGTTTATTCATTTATGTTCGTGAATGTTTGTTTGTTTACCGTTCGTTTACGTTTGTTTATATTCGTTTGTTTATGTTCGTTTATATACTAAATTTAATATATAATCTTTTGTTTATTTATTTTGAAATTCAAATAATATTTATTTATGTTTATTTAGCCCGTTTGTTTATGTTCGTTTAGCATGTTAACGAACGAACATAAATGAACACGAACACACCTGATTTCTAAACGAACGAACACGAACACAAAGATTTTCGTTGTTTACCATTCGTGTCCGTTCGTTTGTTCGGTTAAATTAAACGAACGAACATAAAAAACTTTCGTTCGTGTTCGTTCGGTTCATTTACAACCCTAATTATGGCTTGTGTACAAATATGTAAAGCAACTTGAAAAAAACTAAAAATATTCCACCGACCACCGAGCATCTCGAATAACCTCTCTGAAATATAGTTACAAAACATAAAATTTTAATAAGAATTACATTCATCTCTAACAGATTTCCTATTTTAGAGATTTTAACATAAATTATATTATTATAACATTTTCTAATTTATCGGGTAAGTATTTAATAAACGGACATTTAATTTCACTCACATGAGAGAGGTCCCTTCCTCTACGGGCCGTCAAATTCTTTTGTTAAATGCTCCAGCCCAAGGGACACTTTGGTCATTTTAGAATACTTTTTAAAATAAACTTAAGTGTATTAATATTATAACTAGAGCTGTAAACGAATCGAACGTTTAGTAAACTGTTCATGAACCGTTCGGTTGGAAGTTCGTTTATTTAATAAATGAACAAACATGAACAATTTTTTTTTGTTTAGTTAAACGAACGAACATGAACAAGAGTCATGTTTGTTCATTTATGTTTATAAACGTTTGTTTGTTTTTCGTTCATTTACGTTTGTTTATATTCGTTCGTTTATATACTAAATTTAATATATAATTCTTTGTTTATTTACTTTGAATTTAAATAATATTTATTATGTTTGTTTAGCTTGTTAACGAATGAATATAAACGAACACAACACACTTGATTTGTTAACGAATGAACATAACTTAATCTAATCGGTGAAATTAAATAAAATAATCAATTTTCACTCCTAACATCAAGTTTTAGAGAATTC